ATCTCGTAAACATTCTTCCAAGAAAGTCTCTGACGAGTCTGACCAGAGTGGTTTGACCGAAGAGCTTGAGGAACCTCAAAGCCAGCTCGGTTATCTGTCTGATGGAAGTCAGAATAGTAAGAAGAGGAAAAGAGATGATTCTCCTCCTGCTGTTGAAAGTCTCGTTAAAGGTTTGTTTGCTAGGCTCAATTAACCTAATTCAAGAAGATAAGTGTCAATTTCTTTTTGTTGCTAGACTCACATGTTGTGTTTGTGCTTGTAGTTGCAGCTGCACCTGTAGCAGGGAATCCGTTACGGATTCGGTTGATCTTTAAAAAACCCAAGGAGGCAGTTCCTACTCTGCCTCAAGAAGATCCTGTTTGCTCTACTTCGGTTGCAAAGCCTCTCGGACACCAAGATGTCGTAGCGAATTCTGCACCAATTTCGGAAGTATCCGAGCCTGATGAGAATTTGCCGTCTACTTCAGCGGCTGCGATAGTTGAAACAATCAAGAGCAAGAAACACAAGCCGAGTAAAGAAGAACGATACAATGCATTGTTTGATGATTTGACTCCATCTTCCATTTGTTTTGCTGCTGGTGATTCTTTGTTAAAGGACGATGAGTGGTTATTTGGGAAGAAGAAGCAAGGGAACGTAAACCCGAAAGCAGTAGTCAAGATTGATGAAGACATGAGCATGAGTTTGCATAGATCTAGTGATTCCTCTTGGCCTAAAGCTCAGTTTTTGTCCGACGTCGGGATTTCTTCTTTACCGTTTACTGTCCCGTTCTAATGTTCCATTCTTTTTTGGTAGCCTTAGCTTTGTACAGTGTGACAGATTGTAACAACAAAATTCTAATCTAACCCAATTTTGATACGACTATTTTCGATTCCAAAGTCGTTTTAAGATGTGAGAATGGATAAGATCAAAACAGTCAAGTATTCTTTCTCTTTAGTCATCACAATTGCTACGAGATTGGTTTTGGTTACTTCGGTATTACCTGGATCCGAATCTTCCATACGTTGCACTATACGGATCTAAACCTCTGTTTCACCTATAGTGGAAGAAATTAATCTTTAAGATCTCCTCACGG